CCGTTATTTTGTCATTCTCTTCTGTTTACTTCACTTCCTGTTTCAACACTATTTGGTTTCGGTTTCATTGTCTTCTGAATATGACCTCGTTAGTTATATCGTAACACATACACACACAAATTATATATATATATATATGTATATGTATATATATAGCGATAATACCACATACCGCGCTATTGAGCCACTCAAAATTACCGCAAGGGAAATTCCCTCACCGCAACAGCCCTAGTTCCAAACCTGTAAGACCTTCGTTCATCTTCGGAACACAATTTAAGATATTTTTTATGAAATCTGAGGGCTCTCTGACCCTCCCATAGACAGCAAGGTAGCTCCACACGGACTACTTTGTCGATCATCGTAGTCCGTGTGACATCATTGGTTCAACTGTAAAGTTACGAAGCTACGAGAATACTTTTTTGCGCAAAGAAAACTAAAATAACGACTTTATTCCACATTTTCGTCTCTACTGCGTCACTTTGGACGCGCGTTCACAATAGTACCATGACGCGAGCGTGTGGTGGCGTGATGACGTCATTACGCTGGATCTGGGTCAGCGCCGCCACTGTTGAACCACTGATGTCACACGGACTACTTTGTCGATCATCTTGGTACTTTTCTGGACCTTGAACATGGTAGTTACCTTGCTGTCTATGGGAGGGTCAGAGAGCCCTCATATTTCATCAAAAATATCTTAAATTGTGTTCCGAAGATGAACGAAGGTCTTACGGGTTTCGAACAACACGAGGGTGAGTAATTAATTAGATAATTTTTGGGTGAACTAACCCTTTAAATTCATTCCAGCTCCCTTTCCCACCTATGAAGAAGAGAGGCACCAAAGCCTAGTGGCCTAGACAGCTAATAAGGCCACATGAGAATGAACACCCTGAATAATTTCATTTCATTTTATAACCAAAGGTGTTTTCACCAGCACTAAAGTGTTGAGCAGCATATTGCTGTCATAGTAATCACTTTGACCATCAAAGAGCATTGCTTGATTGGTGAAATTTTTCTTTTGCGTATATTACTATAGAAACTGTTCACAGAAGATGAGACAAATGATAGCATTGCAAGTCAAGGCTAAAGCGGATACATCATTCATTACTTTTGTTTGCACATTGAATCCTGAATTCAGAAAAACCTTGAGTGAATTGTGCAGGCAATAATTTAAAGTAATAATAAATACCCCAAGTAAATAAATAAATAAATGAAAATGAGCAGGGAAGTAGGCAAAATTAGTCGCCATGGCCAATACGAGTCTGCACAATTTAGTTGACAATGCCACTAATATAATCAAAATATTATCATTTTAATCTCATATTGCTATTATTCTCCTAATACTATGAATTTATTCACATAATTTTTTACTTTATTCTCAAAATATTATAACTTTAATATCATGATCTTAGTTTTTGAACGCAACAACTGCATCGTACTTTTTTCAGATATGTGCATTACCTTCCTGATTTACAGACATTTACAGACAAACACATTTTTCTTTCCAAAGTGTAGTCACACTAACATGCAGTATTCACAAAACAAAACAAAACAAAAGTTGATGATGAGAAAATCGAGGCAATTGATGAAGAAATTTTTTTTCCCCCCATGATTATGTCAACCTGACCTTAAATGATTCGTGGAGCAATGCTTACCTGGGAATGGGTTGTGAGGTGGGGACCACAGGCATGAACTTTGGGCAATTGGCCAGCTGTTCCTGAACCTTTGTGCAAGATGAAATATGCGACCGCATTTTGACCAGGGTGACCTGGGATATTCAAAGGGACATAATAAATCAAAGTGAGTAACTTGCGCTGTAATTAAAGTGCCCCTATTATGCTTTTTCGGATATTACCTGTCATGTAGTGAGTTATATAGCTGTTTGTGAATGTAAAAGGTCTGCAAAGATCAAAGTGCATGACAAACGTTGTTATTATTTCTCAAAAGAAAGAACCAATCCTGAACTGCCTGAAAGGAGTCATCAGCAATTTGAAGACTTCCTTCCTTTGCAAACCTAAATTCGTAAACCCGCCTTTGGTCTTCATACTGTATGTACTTTGACCTGCCCCCAAACACTGTGGTTGTAGCTAAGGCCTGGACGATTGTTCAGTTTGTGTTGTTGCAATGTTCTGCACTGCCAAAGTAAAACCAAGATACACGTTTTGCGTGAGGATAGGATATAAAGAAACAGTGGTTGAAATTCATTTTAACACAGACACCACAGCAGTATAACTCCAACCTTTCACTGTGTTCTCATCATTTACTGACGATATTTGGACCATCTTGCACCTCTGGATCACATCCTGTAAGTATGATTAAAAATATATATACCGTGTGTTCAAAGTGTGTAGTTTTGTGTTGTATACAGTGTCCACACAGTGCACAGCTTTAGCCCTCTGCTAACCGACTAACTCACATTATTATATTGAAATATTTCTGATAATCTTCCCACAATTACCTAAATTTGTGTCAATTAATGCAGACTGTCTGTCATTCTTACTACCTACAGTAAAAGTGTGGAGCAGGATTTTGGTTTACAAAATCACTACTTCATGGCATAGTGCTTGGCTAACGTATGTGCCATTATTGTTTGGGTAAGTTTTTACTATTCAGCAGTCATTATTGGAGGTGATGCTGCAATGTATATTATTTTTATTTATTTTTTTACCTTGGATGCATGTAAACCTATTTTAGAAGATCTCTAAAACATAACTAGAAAGCTTTAAAATAGCATAATAGGGATACTTTAGTACAAATGACACCTTGATTGCTGTGTCAAATCATGCAAACACAAAACAGTGAGCACAAACACAATAAAAGGGTAAAAAGGGGTCTTTCTAAGCTCGCAATGGCAATCAGGACATCTCAGTGTGTCAAGATTGTAGTTGCTGGGCTGTGCTTGTTTTGCTTTAACTTTTATTTACCATTAAACTGTCACTGCAGTTTTGAAAGGCTCCTGCAGGAGAGACTCGATGTCGTGCTATAGTGTCCCTGAAGCAAGTTTTAGTGTAAATGCCTTACATAATGACAGCTGCACTGTTCAGAGGAACATGCCTTGTGGTACTATGCCCAGTTTGTTTTTCATTCATATTTGTTTGCGCAAGCACAAGGACAAACCTTTTTGCTGCACCCTCTACATGGTGCCTTATACGAAGAGAGCTGCTTCTCCAGGCTGGAGGATTTGTCCACTTTTTTTGGATCGAAAGGCATGCGGCAGAGTGGACAGAGAGGCGATGTCACCTGCAGACACGGCTGTAGACAGTCCGCACAGAAACTGTGAACACACACAGACACAAACATATTACAGATATATCTTAAAGTTCTTAAAGTAATGATTAGTTGTAATCGTTTATGCTATTTTTATGATCATGACAATAATCGTATAACATATGGATACCGGCCTTCTGCGAACAGTAAGATAGCTGCTTTGATCACAACAAAAAGCAAATCATGAATTATCACCATTGTCCCTTTGAGTAAGGCACTTACTTTCATTATTCTCCAGAAGGACTTGCTCCTGTAATAAGTGTACTCTAAGTGGCACTGGATAAAAGTGTCCACTAAATGTTTAGTAACTGCACAAGCCTCTGAGGAGAACAACAATTTTGAACCACTGAACTCTGGCTGGCAGGCAACAGGCCTGTGAATAGCTGAACAAATGCTGATGTGTCAAGACTATCAGGCATTTAGCCATCACCTTTCAAGCTGGCGTGACTCAGCAAGGGGTCCAAATACATGGCAGCATCAGCAAAAAATTGCTAGTGAACTTGCGGTGGCAGCCTTGTCACTTTCTGATGGATCAGAGTTTATGGGACTATAAAAGCAATTAATCATTCTGAGCTTTTTTCCACCAGGCTTACGCCTCGCTTTATGGTACTGTTGAATCCAGGACCAGGGCCAAACAAGAGCCACTCCATCACTGTCTACACTGAAATGCGGCACTGACTGACTCACGAGGAAACTGGAAGTGAAGGTCAGTTGCTAAGTGTAGCGTTGCATTTGCAAATTTCTGAAAAATTCAAAGAGCCGTGTCATGCTGTAATTAAATAATTGCTTTCTGCCCTTTTGAGTTTTGGTCAAATAAACATAGGATGTTTTTATTTTTCTGGATTCTTTATGATTTAAATTAAATTTATAATCAAAAATGGTGCTAATCAAATGAATGCATACAACTTTAACCATTTCATTAATCTTTTAAAAAGTAATACAGTGAATGCAGTTTATGTGAAAGTACTCCACAACATAGGTTTACAGCTTACATGGAAGAAAAATTGTGATATCCCCTAAAAATAATTTTTTTATATTTTTATTATTATTATTATTATTTTGAAAACTACATTCCACTGTACGATAGTAAAATACTTTTGCCACAATTTCTTCAAGTTAACTCAAACTTTTATTTGTTCCTTGAGTTTCATTGAAGCCTTTGAGTTTCTGTGTATGTGATGATAGGGCTGGGCGATATAGGTAAAACAAATTTATCAACGATATAATGTTTCATATTGTTCGGTATTGATAATTATTGACATTTTTTATAACCCTTTTTAAAATAAAGAGCAATAGAATTTAACCCCTGTATTTTTCATTTACCTAATTTAAGACAACAAATATTTTTTGTTTCACAGTTTCACAAAATAAAATGTAAACAAATATCTCCTTTCTTATGTTTTATATGCAGATTAAATAAGTCTTAAAGAAACTTTTGTCTTGTCTCCCGAGGCCACAGGAAGACGCAATGAGCAAAATAATGCAGCACATTAAATTGTTTATTCAGTGCAATGAAATAACAACTGTCTATAAAAGTGCATCACATCTAAATTAACATATATAAATCAAATATAATTTCATAAATTGCATAAACAATTATGAACAAAACAAAACAGCATGTATTTATGCATTGCTTAATACAAAGAGCCGAAGCGCCATTCACACAGATTGCATTTAAAAACATAAAAGACGCAGTGAAATGGAAGAAACCTTCACAAATTTGTGACGCGTTTTCTAAAAGTTTAAACTTTAACTTTGCAGGGCTACACCTCTTGTGTGAGACGCAGTGCAGCAGTCATATTTGTCCGTCTAAAAAATGCACTGAATATTCTGTGTGAATGGCTTGGTTTCCGTTTTAACCTTTTCATGCCAGACTGGGGAGAGAGGTGTTGTAATAATGTAAAATATGTGAAAAATTATTTGTTTTTCGAACAACCTAGTATGAGAGCCTGTTCTAGTACACCCCCAAAACAAAATCAAGACTTTGTAAAAGAGCATAATAGGACCCCTTTAAGGAAACTTTTGTCTTGTCTCCTGAGGCCACAGGAGGGCGCAATGAGCAAAATAATGCAGCGCATTGAATTGTTTATTCAATGCCATGAAATAACAACTGTCTATAAAAAATGTGCATAAAGACTAAATAACATATATAAATCAAATATAATTTCGTAAATTGCATAAACAATTAGGAACAAAACAGCATCATGTATTTATGCATTGCTTAATACAAAGAGCCGAAGCGCCATTCACACAGATTGCATTTAAAAACATAAGACACAGTGAATAAGAATAAACCTTCACAAATTCGTGACGTTTTCTAAAAATGTTAACTGTTTTAACTTTGCATGGCTACATCTCTTGTGTGAGACGCGAGTGCAGCAGTCATATTTGTGCATCTAAAAAATTTGCTGAATATGCATCTGTGAATGGCTTGGTTTCGGTTTTAACCTAATTAAGATCTTCTCCGCATTGAGCTACTATATTTCTCTAATATTCTGAACGCATAACGTAGCAGCGGAGCGTCTCGTGGGCGGGGCATAGAGGACCTACAATAATGTACAGTATTTGAAAAATAATGTGTTTTTTGAACATTAAAGCATGTCAACATATTCTGTTACACCAAATACACAAAATAATTATCTTTAAAAAAGCATCAAATGACCCCTTTAAAACATTAAAATACAACAATGTCCCTTACATCATTATCACGCATCTTGTGCGCCACTGATAAGGCTCCCGGACACACACATAACATTCGATTGCACCGTTTTTGCATTCAAATGTAATTTTTTTATTTTAAATTAGACTAATATTCATTCTTTATTCACAATCTCCTCATCACAGGCAGGCACACTCATTTCAGCATGTGTTCGTGGGCTGTCTGTGTCACTCAAAGCACGTGCCTATATTGTGCGCTATATCAAAAAAAATGTATATTGTTATCGATGAAGGTGTACCGTCGATAAATACCGATACCGTTTTATCGCCCAGGCCTATGTGATGATCAAATGTTATCAAATGAAATGGTGAAATGCTAATGAATTAAACTCTCAGAGCAGCTCTGAAGTTCATTTGAAGTTCATAATGAGATGGCAGATTCATTTAAAACTTTCAAGACTCAAACTGACACAGAGTGAAAGACTGGATTTTTTCGATCAGGTAGAGTACAAGTGATTTCAAAACATTTCAGCCGGTGTTCTGTCGATTTGTGCTACCCTGTCAGATTTTGCTACCTCCCATTAAAACAGTGGGTAGTACAATTCGACAACGAAAAATGCTACCTGTAAAATTATGGTTTATTAACGTCTACACCTACCACAACCCTAAACCTACCCTTACAGTAATGCAAATACAGTAATTATGTGTTATATTCACGGTTGTAGCTAGAAGGAACAGGAATGCTAAAGGAAACCAACTATAAATTATTTTCTCTACCTATTAGATTGTGTTTTATTAAAGTCTACACCTACACCTACCCCAACCCTAAACCTACCATTACAGTAATGCAGATACATTAAATATTGTTGTTCAGCATGAGAATAAGGACGCAATATTGATGTGCGCATGCGCAGTAAACCCTGGTAGGACAATCTGACGGGTTGGATAAAATGTCAGGACACCTGTTTATATATATCGTGTATATATTATTATATTTATCTCGTATAAGATGCATTTGGTTGAATCAAGTGCTTCATTGTAGTACTACGGTAATTATCTCTTCAGCGCGCAGCGCGAGCAGGACAAACAACAATGCAGAATATTAATAATTATGACTGGGACTGTCATACACATAACATTATAATGAGAACACTATTATAATAAAACGCTGTTAATTTTTAAAGTTTAGTTGCCGTGTTTCTGCACGTCGTTGCGTGAAGAACGCGTCCACAAAAGGAGTTAATTCAGAGCCGCGCAGACACGTTCATGTGCATTTGGGCCCTTTTTGCACATAGCCTGTAAGTCTTAATATTAATGAATTCTTAGGGTTTCGCTGACGTTTAATGTTAACTATCTTTTAAATCAAAACACTAAACATTATTTACCCCGTTTGTATCTGCGAGGCGTCCGTTACACATTTTCCCTGTGTGTTAATGTCAGTAATTATGACCGTCGAATGTCTGACTTGACTCTTGTCTTGGTAATGTACTTTGCCCCGCCCCCAAACATATGATTCGACTATCAGTCGTCTATCAGCAAGATTCGAAAATTCTGATTCGACTATGAAAATCCTTAGTCGGGGACACCCCTACAAGCATCACACATGCTAGAGCAGTGGTCGGCAACAGGCGGCTCGTGGGCCAAAACTGGCCCGCCAGCAATAATATCTGGCCCGCGCACGCAGCCATATTATTTTGATAGCGACTGGGTCTGAAATAGATCTGTCATGACTCATGACAACAACAGTTACAATCAGAGTATGTGAGCGGAGCGGGGCACGGAGTGGAGTGGTGTGATTTTGACTGGAGCGAGGAGCGGATTTTTTAAAAGTCGGAGCGTGGTTTTCACTCGCTCCAAGAGTGCTCCACCACAGCTCCATCACGAGAACAATTCATGCCAACAGCCCATAATATAACTGTATATTTAACAAGAATTCACATGTTAAACTTATTTAGCTAGCTAGAAGGATCAATCAAATCAAAAAGAATGTGAAGGTTATGATGACGGCAATGGACACAAGCGGGAAGTTATAGTTCTCAAGGAATTTGTTTGTTCTTTCTAGATACTGAATATTTTCAGCTGAAAGCATGATTTAAACAGGTACACAGGGGCGCCGTTATGGGGGGTGCAGAATATGGGCCCAGGAAGCTAGGGGGCCCCAAATCACTTGCGCTTTAACGGAAAAATAGACCTTGACAATTTGAATATTCCGCGAGTAACGGCTCTATTCAGCATGTTACTCAGACAGCCGCATCTCTGACATCTAGAGCCCTGCATTTCAGCCCGAGCCCGATGGGCCCCGACTTACGCCCCTAGGGCCGGGCTTTTTTTCACGTCATAGCTCAGATG